TGATATTTGATGCATTTTCACTAATGGCCGATATAGAAAATCGACTTAATAATATTATGCTCACCATAGATTTAGATAAGACAAAATATTTGATTTTTCAGTTACGGGAGCCGAGGTTCCAAATAACTGTTCCATGTTACTTGTCATAAGTGCTGAGGATTAATTATACTAATTTGTAAAATTGCCCACTTGTACGTGTTACAAGTTTAATAATGTGTAAATAATACAGTTAGTTCGTGAACTAGCAGTATTATTTAGTCATTTCATTTGATGCGAGACTCACGCTATGTAGTTAAATATGTGATAACAGTCTAAAGCTAGACTATGAATAACGATCAAGATTATAAACATTTTCAGACGCTGTGTGCGTAAAACTCTTTCATAATGGTCTGCGATTCCGATCAGGTTTCAACCGGATTCTGCGAAGCACTGCTCTTTCTAAGGCTAGTGTTAGCAAATTCTCTTTGGGTTGAGCCCGTGAGCTCACCTACCCGCTGAAATAGCACCTTAGGCTACCAGCGTAGGTTTAAGTAGGAAAAAAGTGTCTAACATCTTGTGGGTTATTGGTTTCTTAATAAAACGTATATTTCCTTTGCCTGTCCTTCCTTCCAACTTCAAGTTCGCTCAACAATTTCCTAAAAATAAAATTCAATACGAGTTCAATAAAACGCTAAAAGTAAGCCACTCGATCGTTAAAAAAATTAAAGAAAGACTTGTTTTCTTTTTCATATAGTGTTTTTTTTTTAATTGTAAATATATCATAAATATTTACTCTGCCCTTACTTTTATGTTTTCTGCGGCGTGTGTTATGACGTTTGATATCTATTACTATAAAAGCTAATTTACAGTATCGACCCCCAAAGGACAGGTTTGCCTAGTGCGGGGAGTCACAAATAATTTTATGTTTGTACCAAATGGCTCAATAAAGAAAATATTATTACTATGATTAACTACTCGCGTATACTAAATCAATAAATTATATACAAACTTTATTTCCCATCACTAAAAGAGATGTGAAACTTGACAGTGATCAGTGCATCACATGATAAATTTAACATCACTCGGTTTCCCTACAAATTCTAAGCAAATGCTTTTTATTAGACGTACGCCTCCAAATTTAAGCGAAGCAAAGTCTTTAATATAATAGCTAGCGGTATACCCCGGGTTCGCACGGATATTTAACAGAAATTACACTGAAAACAGAAATAATTTATGTATTAGTTATAATATTTGTCAGATAAGAATCTTATAACTATGCTGAAAATCTATAATATTGATCTTCGCGATTCTACCTTGAAAAATGAAGAACTTTATACATTAACTTTCAAACCTAATTCATCCCTTTACGGATAGATTTTTGAAAGACGCCGCAATACGTACCTACTTTTTTTTATCTACCCAGAAACAGAGATTTGAAATTACATGTCTCTTATTCTGAAAATAATGAACTATCATTCCAATTAAACCGTTGAAATTTCCAAAAATCCTGACATGTAAATAAATAGGCACCAATTTCAATATTCTAGGTAGTTTAGGTTCTGCTATGCTGAATTAATTAGTTAAGAGGTTATTTTATATATCTAGATTAACAAATGCTTTTTTTATTCATAATAATGTTTATCAGAACAAAATTAATATATTCACCACAAATGAACTGTGTCCTTGAAATATAACGTTGTAAACGTGAAAAGTTAAAATTTTTTAAAGCTTTTTAATGTGGTACATCAAACACAAAATAAAGTATTTATTGTAAGTTTTTTTTTGCTTGGATGGGTGTACGAGCTCACAGCCCACCTGGTGTTAAGTGGTTACTAGAGCCCATAGACATCCACAACGTAAATGCGCCACCCACCTTGAGATATAAGTTCTAAGGTCTCAAGTATAGTTACAACGGCTACCCCACCCTTCAAACCGAAACGCATTACTGCTTCACGGCAGAAATAGGCAGGGCGGTGGTACCCACCCGCGCGGACTCACAAGAGTCCTACCACCATTAAGTCACTATTTTAATATCAAAAACCTAAGACAAAGTCACGACTTAATACGACATGCCAACGATAAAATCGGATAGCAGTTCTTAGTATTCTAAAATAACGTTAAGACATCGCATCGTAACCGATTTTCGTTTTGGTGAATAATGCGACGAGGCGAGCGTGAGCGTTCGGTTGAATCGACGGAAGTCGCCAGGACGACCGCGATATTTTGAGCAAGGCGCTTCGGGTATGCGACTCGTAATGTATAAATAAATACAACAACAAATTCTTGAAACTGACGTGTACTGAGTAGGTACTACAAGTTCCCCGTACTTCTAAGTAAGGGACAATTGAGTCGACTAGTATCAAAGCCGGCAATGTGACTTTTGGACAATTATTGGTAAATCAGAAAAACTAATTATTGACTTTGTATTCCATTGGCAGCCACAAAACTCTTCTGAACGACATCTTAGATAAATAACAGGTTAAGTATTAACCTTTATTTAATGCAGGTTTTGAACCGTATTCTTTGAAGGAGACGATTATATTCAAATCAATCTGTATTGACATATCAATAACATTTTCTTGTTCAAATGCACAGATTGCCACCTTTGATAATAGACGACTCAATTATCTTTACCTATTTACTGAGCAGTNTAATTACGCAAATTATAATTTTGCGGGTTTGATTTTTATTACACGATGTTATTCCTTCACCGTGGAAGTCAATCGTGAACATTTGTTGAGTACATATTTCATTAGAAAAATTGGTACCCGCCTGCGGGATTCGAACACCGGTGCATCGCTTCAACACGAATGCACCGGACGTCTTATCCTTTAGGCCACGACGACTATTGATGACGACGACTGATGTCGTTCTACCTTGGAGACGAAGGGACTCGTTTGGCAACTTGAGTAATATTAAAGCCCCTAAATAGTGCCATTGGAAGCCGCTTCGTCGACCAATGCATTTCCTCATTTATCATTTATTCGATAGAATCTACCTATCATTAAACAACACGGTGACAATTATATTGTGATCTTATCTTCTCCAACGACTGAGGAGCTTATATTAAAATACATACTTACGACGTACATTTTTGAAACTCGCATTCTCAATTTAATTTGTAAGTTATGAAATGAAATGAAATCTCATCAATCCTCTAGAATTCTACGCTCGTTATAACAATAGTAGGATTAGTTGACAAAGACGTGAAATATTGTAATACACCGATACTAGACAGGTAATCATTAACATTTATCCTTGGACCGAAATAGAAAGGATATCCGTTTGAACTGTACGAACTATTAGATAAATTAAATAACTGTCCACACATAGACATTTTAATATAATCCTACATATAAAATAAAGTACGTTCAAATTATCGACAGACGTGAAGTAATCATTTGTTCCGGTTGGAACGGAAGGATAGGCGTTATCGATGAGACTTCTTCTTCTTCTCTTTTCTGTATAGCAATCGGCTTATTGCAATACACTGTTGCCAGCGTTGAGCTTAGAAATAGAATCGTAATGAATAGGGAAAAAATGGATCTGATGGAAATGGTGTTTGATTGAATTTGTTGAGACTTCGCTTACTGTGAAACCACGTCCAGCGATTAAACATTCCAAAAAAACCTTTCAATCTAATGGATCTGGATGGATCTGACGGATCAAGAACAAATTTGACGAATTGAACGCACTCCATTTTGTTTAGTAAAGAAGTTTATACATTTGCGAGAAATAAAATGGGTTACAGGTGCGCAATTTAGAAGATAGTCGAGAAAATATACACTGTGACATTTAGGTAATTTAATTCTTTTAATAAAAATAAACTAGAGTACTGTAATTGACAAATTGACACTTCACTTTTCTCCTTTCTGTAGTGTAATTTCAATGTATGTTATTTTACATATGTGTTTACAAACGATGCTTAATAAGAGTCGGTCCCCCGTCCCCCCGGATCAGTCAGATGCATAATAAAGGAGAAATGTGAATAAAAGACGATGATAGATCACCAATGAATGATCACTTTCTCGAAAATTACCATGAAAGTATGTCATGCGAAATGAACATATTTTTGAAAATATGCAGCAGGTTTGTGCGGATTTCTGTCGATGAAGGCCAACCACCGCACATGCTTTCGTCGATGTTTATATCCCAATCCCACATTCCGAGCACTATTGAAATCTTACGATTACTAGCAGCGCGGCGGTTTATTGCTCTTAGCGCTTTTAATAAATGGATGTAAACTTATTTCTATATGTAAATATGCAAAATAAATTAAAAATCACATTCAGCTTTAAAATTTATATTAATTCAAATATTTTTTTGGGAGATAAAACTAAAAGAAAAATGCATATTTGGATTAATATATATTTTGTCTTATTAAAAATCGGAACTTTCTAAATTAATATGTACATCCATATTTGATTAAAATACAATAAACATTATAAATTAACTACCTAACTATAGCCAAAATTTCGACTGCATTTGCAATCGCGTAATATGATTGAAGAAAGCACGTCAGCTGAATATTCAAATTGTAAAGTTCAAAGATTTTTGAAGGAAATAATGAGTGACGGTCTATGAAAAAAAGAAAGAGATTTAGCTTAGAAATTTTAACCTTCCAACTTTAGAACGAATATATTGACCTAACTTGTCTAGAAAGATCCCTTTTAGCATTCAGATCGCACATTGTATTTTCAAAGAAGTTCTCTTGCATTATGTTTATATTTAGTGTTGAATAAAATAACAATATTAAACGAAAAAGTATAGCTATGTACAAAACGCAATGTTATGAAAACACATTAGAAATAGGTAATATAAAATATCAATTACTAATTAAAATAAACACATAATTGGTTATGTACAAACATATAAATATACAAGTAAAATAAAATAAAAAAATACGAATGAACATGAATGTGGAAACGGCTTGGCGGCGGGAAGTATGGGGGGCACGGCGGTAGAAGCGGTTGCATGCCCTTCCACCCGCCTTCACACCCGCAGTCGAGCGACAGGCGGGCGAGACGGCCAGCTGCGCACCGCGTCTTGTGTTTTTCGGAATTTGCGGTGTGCTTGACGTTTATTATATTGCATGTTATTTTTTGAACAATTTCTAACTTGTTTACGTAGTGTGTGGAATAATAGGGGTGAAAATATATAAAACGAATGACAAGCTCAGCAGTGACGGAGGATTAAGTAACAACCTTGGTGCTTGTTACATAGATGGATACCAGTGTCTTTTGTCCGTAGAACAGTGGATTTTAGTAGAGTGGTGTTTACTGTTTAGTCTCTCAGTTTATTATCTAATTTGATACATGTGGACATCGTAGTGTAACTAGTGATTGTTGTCGTGGCCGGTTTCCACTCAGGAAACTTTCCAAACGTGAATAAAACAGTGGGTAATGCTTTCCTAGCGAATGCGGGCCCTGCCTGCACGCATTCCGCAGGGAGCCAAGTGCCGGCAATAAGCATTTTACGGTGAGTAAAGCGCGTTCAAGTTCATCGTACTCTGACCTAAAACTGCGACAACGTCTCTTGACCCATAATAGACTCATGTCAGATGTCAAGAAAGTCTATCCAATGAATTATCATATTGGCACTAGTTTTCTAAAGCGAAATAAACATTGGAAATATGAAACCTTGCCTTTAATGTAGGTACTTTTATTAACCATAACTCTACTACTTCTTCATAAACCTTCATTGTTAACTTCATGTTCAGAGATGCGTTACATTGGGACGCAAACATTTTGATTTTGCCAGAATTTTGCTAAACTTCACTGCGAGGCGAGATAAACGAATAAAAATTAAAATAATTATCACTACTTTTTGGGCATAGTCTTTCCTTTGTATTTTTATTATATTATTTCCGACAGTTCGAATACTTTACAGTTTTCGTGGTCACAGACAAAAAAGGTGTCATTCATCATATTGTGCTAAAAGAAAACTGAAGAAAATACCATACTTATAATAATTTAAAATCAGTACAAAAACAACTATTCTTGTTGAAATACACTAACAATTTATTTCTAAATTCTTTACAATTTATAGCATCACTAATCCCAATTTTCTTCAATTAAAAAAAAATATTCCTAAGTACAAAATGTAAGAATCTTATCATAAAAACATTAACAACACCTGTACTACATACACGGTAATCTCTCCTTATGTAAGTTTTATGACTAATTGTTGTATTATAACATGCAGTTATGTCAACAAAGCTTATCAAAACTATGCATCATCTGTGGAAATATTTTACATGGCAGAATGTAAACAGAAAACATTATTAAATCATGCAAAGGTAAGGTAGGACAATATCTCTTCCACCCAAAAACATTCAAATGCTATAAAGCATTTTCTAGGATGTACAGACCAAGTTGAAAGATTATTAGAAGTAACTACATAATATTTGATTAATCTAATTTAGAAATATTAACGTATGGCTCATCTAAATACAGACACCTCAATATTAACATTCATTTCATATTTCAATTTTCATTTAATTCATTTAATTTACAATTAAAGAGTATAATGAAAAAGAAAATGCTATATAAAAAAAAGAAATTGATGAAACTAATGCTATCATGACTTAAACAAAAAAACTACAATACAAAAAAAGAAATTTACTGTCAAACAGGAAAAACTTGTACTATTTTATCATTGACTTTTATAACTAAATAATAAAAATCTTGAATCTAAATCTTCTACTTTTAAATTATCTAAAAAAAACGAATTGTGGCATAAAGAAAACAAAGGAAATTAAAAGTTACACTTCAATAAATAAGATAAAAATACTAAATTTATATATTTTTTTCTATTCAGTGAGGTTGTAATTTACTGGATGGATAAATTTTATCTGGTTTTTGTAAAATTAGGGCTTAGTATGTTTACAACGACAGGTTTAATAAACTTGGACATGAAATGTACATTTTATTTGGCACACTGTCAATAAAAACACCTATTTCTGGTTTGAATAATCAACATGTCCATCTCCTATTCGTAGTGGAAACAATGAAAAAGTCACTTGCCTCATATTTAATCTTTTAATTTCATTTGACATTTTCCTCATTATATTTAAAAAAAGAAATAAACTACAATTTATAAATTTATAAAAACTTATTATATAAATTAATTATATTAGATAAGACTGACAAAAAATGTGTGTCTATATAACAATCGTTTTTTTAGTCCAATATCAAATTTATTATATATCGTCAATAAATCTCTTAATTTTGTGTGTACTTTTTACTGAATAAAATATTCCCCTCTCAGTTTATTTTTAATTTTCAAAAATAACGGTGCTCGTTTTTCATTGACTTCACTAATTGTAGACATAATATTATGAATGCATTACAAATTTCATTGTCAACTAAATCCTTATTTGTATGTCTAAATATATTACTATTGCCTAATTTTCAATGAAAATATTTGTTGACATTATAAGTAATCTAAAAAATATTGTTCGTTTTAATTGTGATTTTCGATAAAAAAATAATAGCTAAAAGTTGCACAATGTTCTTTTTGGATATTTAGCTCAATTATTCTATTCCTTAAATCAATCAATGATTACATTTTCATAAATAAATTAAAATCAAACACAAAAGCACATACACTTACACAAAATTATATTATTTAAAATTATATTAAATTATATATTGTTTATTAAATAAGTCAATGTATTATTATGAGCTAATTATTAGAACTAGATTTTGATAGTGAAATTAAATACTAATTTGATGAAATGAACTGTTACAGTCCACACTCTAGTCTGCTCTGGTTTCTTTGTAATTCTAATACTTGGCTTTTATTGATACTGAACCTCATTATCTATCAGGCGATAATGAAAAATCATTCCAAATATAAGCACAATTTCCTCTCTAAATTCTTGACTGCAATAGAACAGAATGACTTGTTGTCATTAAAAATATATAGCTATTTTTCTTCAAAACAGATAATTTAACACACAAGTTCATGCTCCCCTTCAAAATTTTTTTTGACACAATCTATTTTTAAACAACTATGAAGCGAAAGGAAACTTAATATTCCTTACTTCCTGCTTGCCGTTAAAATCATTTAAATGTATGTTCTTTGTTTGTACACACAAAAAAAACATCTGTAGGTTAAGTTTTATTATACAATGTTTATTTTATGATTCAAAATTTTATTTTCATTTCTAATTTCACTAGCAACACTTAGATTCTTGAAATAACTTCTTAATTATTGCACTTGATAAACACATGTGATGGTTTACAAACAATATCTCTACCATATCAAATCATACCCATCGTTTGAAGGTCAGCAGAGAATAATAATAATTTATGTAGGTAAATTGTTGATTATTCCGTGATAGCTACATGCCAATAATTAATAATGCCACCGAGATAATCTATACTTACTTAATATTATAAAGAGGAAAGATTTGTTTGTTTGTTTGTTTCGAATAGGCTCCGAAACTACTGGACCGATTTGAAAAATTATTTTTCCATTAGAAGCCGACATTGTCCCTGATGAACATAGGCTACTTTTTTTTATTATTTTTTTTATTTTTTTTTTTTGGTTTCATTTGCGTTTTAATGTTTCCGAAGCGAAGCGAGGGCGGGTCGCTAGTATTAAATAAATTTCTATTGCCGTTGTGTAATGATGACCAAATCATATTCTTTTCCCTAAACATTTTATGTCAGTGGTGAGTCATAGTTAATAGCGATATTTCAGATACGAAATACTCTACAATCTTTTTGTAATACATTATATGGGCAAACGAGCTAACAGCCCTTTCGATGTTAAGCTATGACCGAATTCGACAACATCACAACGAGAGTGCTGCCAACCTTTTGTCATAATGGTAATCTCAATATTATTTGAATGCTATCTTACTCTCAAAGTGGAAACGCACGAACATTTCATGATCAATTGGTGAAACACATTAGGGTCTAGAAGTCCGCATCTACAACACCAACACTTGTGTAATATGTTGTTTGTATCCAGTGAAAAGTGAAGAGACGTATTTAAAAAAAAGGAAGGTAGCGTAATAAAAAAGATGTTGATCATAAGAAACATCGATTTAATTAACATTTTAGAATTGGAACACATATTAGCGCTCACGGCTGTTATACTGCCCCCTATCTGTACGCATCTAAAACGGGAAAATGATTGCATTAGGCTGATGAAGGCGTTAGAAATTTCTGCTTTAAAAGAAGAGTATCATAGATATTCGAAACCGTTTAAGAGTTTAAGCGCTTTACTCGTGGAGAGCACTTGTATTTAATGAGTATGGGCCAAGATGTGTCGGTTCGGCTTAAAATAGCACAAACCCCATCTCTTCCCGCGGCTGTCGTAAAACGGCAAAAAGGGGTTCATCGGAGAATGGAGAGCAGCGATTTCCGTGTATCATATCAGAGTAATGCGATCCTTAACCGGAATTTACGGGTGGTATTGTAAGCCCTCAAAGATAGATACCACCAACCAGCCTATATCTGCCGCAAAGCAGTCATGCGTTCCCGTTCAAAGAATATGCCAGCCACTATGCAATATTTCCAAGTTGGGCGGTGTATTTGATGATGTCTATAGCCTCCCTTAACTTAACACCAGGTGGGCCGTGAACTAGTACGAGCATATATACAATAAAAGAAGTTAATTTAAAGTTAGAAGTCGTCCTGGCCTAAAAGATAAGACGTCCGGTGCATCCGTATCTAGCGATGCACCGATGTTCGGATCCCGTAGGCGGGTACCAATTTTTCTAATTAAATACGTACTTAACAAATGTTCACGATTGACTTCCACGGTGAAGGAATAACATCGTGTAATAAAAATCAAACCCGCAAAATTATAATTTGAGTAATTACTGGTGGTAGGACCTCTTGTGAGTCCGCACGGGTAGGTACCACCGCCTTGCCTATTTCTGCCGTGAAGCAGTAATGCGTTTCGGTTGTAACTATACTGATACCTTAGAACTTATATCTCAAGGCGGGTGGCGCATTTACGTTGTAGATGTCTGTGGGTTTCAGTAACCACTTAACATCAGGTGGGCTGTGAGCTCGTCCGCCCATCTAAGCAATAATAAAAAAAAAAAGTTACAGCTATAAATATTTAAACTGCATATCACCATAGAGATTGTGGGTATAAATTCTCACGCTTCAACTGACAGAAAAGTGATGGTATAAACCAATCACTTATGTAGGTCATGGATCCAGACTCACCATATTGCTTGTATCCCGCCATAACTTACATGTTTCTGTGAGAACACATTATCAAGCTGCAAAACGTAAAGATAAAATGAGTAATAAAATTTATTACAATATAAAAAGAGTAGCGCGTCTTATCGATAAACAAAGAAAAAGGTATACAAAAAGAAAATTTGATGTATTCGTATCTCCTCTAATCGATTGCAGTGTTCGTAAGTTCACAAAAATTTTTGAAGAAAATATCCTTTTGACTTTTCTATTCTATCTTAAGTTACATGATCCAAATTCGGTGATTTTCTCATTTTTTGCTCATCTATTTATCCTTTCGAGAATCATACGAAAACTACTGAGTTGTATTTTTTTTAAACTTTATTATTTGAAAAATTCCTAATTGGAGCCATTGTCACTGTACAAATTCATATTAAACCTTTTTTAATTTTCAAAAATTTACGCTCGGAGTGAATCCGCACCGCGTAAATGTAAAAGTTTATCTATATTATATAAATCTACAGTCACAGTGGTTTTTACGGATGCTCCTTTATAACTCCTGAACCATGCATCCGATTAACTTGAAACATGGTATCCATGTACAAAATACATGTACTTAATGGATAGGCTAATATTTATATGAGTGTTGTACTTACTCCCTAATAATAATGACAATAAATAATAATGTTAATTTTAAATGCCCAGCGAAACGAGCGAATACGGCTAGGGTAGCAATAAAACTATGAATTGACCCGGCAGACTTGGTAGTGCCTCAATCGATAAATAAAAGACCTAAACTTTTGTATAAAATAAGCTTAAAACAAACAAAAGGAATCCGTCGACGGGGGACACATCAAAGGAAAAACAAAATTGTTATTTTTATTTAATTCCGAGCATTTTCATATTTATCTAATCTTTTAAACCTTCTCTGGACTTCTACAAATAATTCAAGACCAAAATTAGCCAAATCGGTCCAGCCGTTCTCGAGTCTTAGCGAGACTATCGAACAGCAATTCATTTTATATATATTAACTATTAATTATTTCAGAGAAGCGAACGGAGCGGGTGGCGGCGCGGCCGGCGGCGGCCTGCTGGCCATGAACGCCACCCAGGTCCAGTGCGAGCCCCACGACTCCGTGGTTCTCATCAAATGTAAGTAAATATATCGATCACCATTTTTATCATAGAAACTTTAGTAACTTCAATGGAAAATATGATGCCAATTCTTAGAACAGAAATTAGCAATTAACTCATGAAAGAAACCTCATTAACCCTCTAGAATTCTATTTCATTATAACAATAATCGACCTGGTTAACAAAAACATGAAATGCTACATGCCAATACTAAATAAGATATACAATTGTACATGTTTCCTAAAGAGGCCAAGGCCAAGAAAAGCGATTGCTGTCCCGCCTGCGCTTTGAATGAGTTCAATATAGGCAATTAGGCAAAATGGATGATTAAACTATTAACGTGTATACTTAAAATACTTAACTAGCTTTAAATAGCAACATAAATTCAATTTATACCAAATGAAATAATCAGTACTATTACGAGTGTTACGTCATATACCCTACAGCATTCATACGTAAAGCTGATAGATTACATTGTTTTATACCCATTTACGCTTAATTGCAAATTATTTTATTACATGAAGTAATTAAATCATGAGTGGTTCTCCCAAATTTGGATATTGAATACATTCTTACCTCTCGTCTCACATGGTATTTCTACGTCATCTCTTGAAGAATATTGAGTAATTACAGTACGTAACTTGAACAGTGAGAGTATTCATTACAACACCAATAAAACATAATGTAATATATTAATATGTTATGCTGTCATTTTAGGCAACCACTAAAGGAATCGTGGAAACAGTTCTTGAATAGTGAGTAAGCCATGAAGTGTATTGTAATGTTCTTTTTTACGAGACGCTATTCATTTGTTTACTTAGAGGATTATTATGCATATATCACTAGGCCGGCAGATGGCCGCAGAATCATCTCTGAAATGCGTTTTAGTGTATTTTTGGAGCGCACGATATGTTTATTTCGATGTTGTGCATGTTTGAGTCAGCGCCGTGATAATCTTATTCTGCTTTCGCTCACAATACACCGATCAATCGATTCGCCTAACACCATTGTGCTCGCCATTTCTAGAAATAACGATTCCATTCTATTTCCGTCGTTTTAAAGTTCTCCCGTTGCGCTGTCGCTCCCAATTGATGCGGGAGCCGCGCGCATTTACAATTAACTTTGTTTGTAGGGCTAATAATAATGGTACAAGTGACGCAGACGGCCGCTCTTATTAATTCCTCTACATATATGACTGTAAATGCAACTCATATGACCAACAGCTATGTTAAACAGAATATTTTAGTGTTTAATTGACTCTGACGTGTGTTAGACGTAACGGACGATGTATAAGTTAATGTTGTGCAGTTATGTGAATGAATCGGAATGTGTTTGTGAGTGCTACTACGGTGCTGTGAAACGATGCAGTTCACATTGGTAATCGTCGTCAATAAAGTCAAACTGTGTCCAGTGTCAGAAGAACCGCTCAAACAAATAGGTAAATAATGGAAACAATGATATTAAGCAAAATAAACACAAGGTTGTTTTTTTTATTGCCCGTACAGGCAAAGGAACATACGGCCCAGCTGATGGTGAGTGGTTACCGTCGCCCATGGACGTCAGCAATGCCAGGAACAAAACTAAGACGCTGTCTACCGTAATTAATTGGTCATTGAAATCTGTAAAGCTTATTGTGAGCCCACACGGGTGGCTACCACCATCTTGCCCATTTCTACCGCGCAGCAGCCATGCTATCTGGTTTGAAGAGTGGGACAGCCGTCATACAATACAAATCAGATTTCGACCTTATATCTGCGATTTTTGGCAGCATTCTCGTTTGAATGTCATTGTGCTCTGGTAACGACTTAACCCCATTTGAGTTTAATGCAATTTGTAAAAAATTGTATTGTGAATCACACCATCTAAAGTCGTATTAAAATGTATATATACCATTATCACAAAATATTGAACCGTATCTAAGACGAAAATGCTTTCACAATAGGCTTATTATTTTAACCTAGTACTGCCAATAGAGCGAATGAATGAAGAATTAGAATATTAAACAGCTGCCTAACATGTGTGGTAACACACGGCCTGGCCCCTATATTGTAAGTGACGTTCTTAACCATCTGAACAAACTTAATTGAACAAATTTCTATCCACCTATTGCCCTTATCTGTTTGGTGAACCGACAAATTCGATGAGCCAATTGTTCAATCAAGATATTTCCTCAACATTTTTTTTTAAAGTAAGTATATTAGGAGTGGGTGATATAAATCGTATATAGATTCAATATCTATATATCGCAGCAATATCGTTGAATCCGATATCGCCCCGCACGAAATCTATATATCGATATCAGCCGATACACGATATTGCTCGATGTGATGCGCATCGCCATATCGGACCGATTCGTGAATCGAAATCTATATAACGATATCAGCCGATACACGATATTGCTCGATGTGATGCGCATCGGCATATCGTACCGATTCATTAATATCAGCAATATTCGTTTGGTTCGTATCGAATCGGCCAGAGTGAGTGAGCGCACGATATCATGTGATGAATGAAACAGAAACAGGCATTATCCATACAATTGTAAACCTTATATTTAAGTCCATATGTCTGTAGATTATTCTTAGCGTATCAGCAGGATACAATTAAGGAAAGAAGTTTCAACTTTCGACCCTAACTTGAATGCAGTAT